CAGGCCCCCTCCGGCCTCCCTCCAGCCTCCTCCCGCCTCAGGCCCCCCGGCCCGGAGCCCGCTCCTCAAGCCAGCACGCCGGCGCTCGCACACGGGGGCCCCGCCCACCGCCGCCTCCCCGTCCGACACCCGGCCGTGGCTCGAGCCTTTAGGGTCTGGGTGGGGGGAGGGTCCGGGGGACGAGCGTTTACCTGAGCCCGGTCCCCGGGCGCGGCCGCAGCCATCGGACTCGGTGTGCGCAGCGGGGCCCGGAGCGGCCCGGGTCTAGGACGGGGACGCATACACGGCCTTCCCAAGTCTCGCCGCGGCTGCGGGGCCACGGTGGGCGTCGCTAACGCCGAGCCTCCGACTAGTCTCTGTGAAACGGGGGCGACCCCTCCACCTCCGGCCTAACAGAGCAATCGAAAGCCCCGGCTTCGGTAGATCCTAGCAAAAAGCGACAAAATGTCCAATGCTAAGAAGACACCGGAAGTCCCGCCCAGCCGCCTTTCGCACTCCTGGAAACGCCCCTCTCTCGGGCCTTCATTGGACTGCGGCGCTTAGGCTTCTGGGTAATGTAGTTCTCTATGAGCCATAGGTCCAGGTAAGTGGCTCTGGGCGGAGGTTCCTGGGAAAAGCAAAGGACCACCGCGAAGGGCGTGGTCAATGCTTCCCGGTACTCCTCGAGGATGGGGTGGGACTTCTCTCCTCATCAGGCACCCGCATCCAGATTTCATGAAGTGTACTCTGGACCAATCACAGATATGTTTATAGACATATTATTTCTTATGTTCCCCAAAACCACAAAATCAAATGGACACACACCACCACTAAGTCTCTCTCCGTCTACTCATATCTGGGAGCTAATAACTATTACCTCGCTGGTTTTTAAATACATATAGAACGAAGGTTTAAGATCAGTTTTGCGAATTTAAGTTCTGGTTAGGGACAAGAGAGAAAAGACTCCAGACAGGACTACGGAGTGGAAGAAAAAAAAGGGATGTTGAGTACCCATGAAGTCAGTGGACAAATTTCCTCAGAAAACTTCTCTAGCTTGTATAATCAGTGATTGTATCAACCCAGCGAGGGACACTTTTTTTTTTCCAGATAATATTTCTTACTCCATATCCTAAGATATACAGAATTGCTTTTAAGATCTGAGACGGGTCCGAAAAGGATCACAACCATTTGAATGTCATTTCCTTACTGGACAGTGTCTGTCATTGTCACATGTTTGGGACACCATGAGGTCATGTCCTCCTTGTGAAGTAATTACCGTTTCACGTGTTATTTTATTTTACTTATTAAAGATTTTATTTGGGGTTCCTGGGTGGCTCAGTCGGTTAGGCGTCTGCTTTCTGTTGGGGCCCTGATCCCAGGGTCCTGGGATGTAGCCCTGCATCGGGCTCCCTGCTTTTACCGGGGAGCCTGCTTCTCCCTCTCCCTCTGCCCCTACTCCTGCTTTCTCTCTAGCGCTCTCCCAAATAAATAAATAAATAAATCTTAAAAAAAAAAAGATTTGTGTTTGAACACAAAGTGAGTTCCTGACTTACCAAAGGAAAAAACAAAGATTTATTTATATATATGAGAGAGTGAGAGAGTGGGAGGAGGAACAGAGGGAGAGGGACAAGCCGACTCCATGCTGAGTGCAGGGCTCCATCCCAGGACCCAGAGACCATGACCTGAGCCGAAGGCAGATGTTTTCCCTTCACGTGTTATTTTAGGTAGGTTTCAGCAGAGGGAGTTGAGATTATCATTGAAAAAATTTCTGAGTACTGAAGTATGAGAAATGAAAAAATGAAGCTGAGTACATAGCTGTATTGGAATCTTGACCACAGTCAAAGCTTTGTCTACAGGTTTGTTCTTTCTTTCTTTCTTTCTTCTTTTTCTTTCTTTCTTTCTTTCTTTCTTTCTTTCTTTCTTTCTTTCTTTCTTTCTTTCTTTTATTTCTTTCTTCTTTCTTTCTTTCTTTCTTTTTTATTCCTGGAACATGGAGCAATTGGAGGGAGAAATAAAGAGGGTATTTAGAAAAGGTCAGAATGGTAAATACCAATAGCAAAATTATGTTGTCAGTGTAACTCATATATATGTTCAGTGAGCAACTACTAGGTTTTAGGCACTGTCTTGATTGCATGAGGCACATCATGAGTGGGGTTTCCAGGAGTTCTCTATAATATAGGACATATCCTACCTTCAATGATTTTTGTTCTGCATTCTTCATTGACACTGTCAGGATGCCTAAAGTGTTTTATATTCAGCTTTTCTCAATAAACTACCAAAATTCAGCAGTTAGATCTATTTTGCCGCCACAGTAATTGATACTAAACTCAGTTAAATGACAACACTAGTTGAAAATCATATCTCTACAAATAAAGATCATGACAATTCCTGGAGGGCATGGCTGGCTCAGTCTGTAGAGCATGTGATTCTTGATCTCAGGATCATGATTTCAAGCCCACGTTGGGTGTAGAGCTTATAAAAAACAAAGAGACAGTTCCTTATGATTTGTCCTGCAAGGTAGGCTAAGGGAAGATCAATAGATGGCACTTAGAATTTGAAATTCTTAATTTTCAAATTCAAGAAAGGAAAAGAGTGGGGCACCTGGGTGGCTCAGTCAGTGAAGCATCTGCCTTTGGCTCAGGTCATGATCTCATGGGCCCTGGGTTTGAGCCTGGTGTTGGGCTCCCTGCTCAGTGGGGAGTCTGTTTCTCCCACTCCCTCTGCCCCTCCCACCGTTTGTGCTTTCTCACACATGTTCTCTCTCTCTCTCTCCCTAATAAATAAATAAAATCTCTATTTAAAAAAAAAGGAAAAGCCTATCCTTTTAACAAAACTAGTTTTAACAACTACTCACAGTTCATTTGAGATACTTGTGCATCAATATACATGCCTCTGAAAATCAGCCCAGTGGAGTCAGCCTTGTTCCAGTACTACACTTCTGAAAGCTAGACAATCAGTATCATTACTAAACCTCTGAAAATCAATCAATCAGTTAGAAATCCCAGTCCAGAAAGACAGCCAATCAGGGACAATCCGAAGCTCCTAGCCAACAGCCAATCAGCCAATCAGCCAACTGCCTCACTCCAATGGCCATGTTTCTGACAGCTTCTGAACAGTAAAGGTACTCCAGTGCCTGTGATAACAGAACCAAAACTCTGTCCAACCCTTAACACTCCCATTTCTGAAAGTCCAGCATTCACTAAATACCAAACTTCCTGGGCGCCTGGGTGGCTCAGTTGGTTAAGCGACTGCCTTTGGCTCAAGTCAGGATCCTGGAGTCACAGGATCGAGTCCTGCATGGGGCTCCCTGCTCAGCGGAGAGTCTACTTCTCCCTCTGATCCTCCCCACCTCGTGCTCTCTCTCTCTCTCATTCTCTCTCTCAAATAATAAAATAAAAATTTTTTAAAATCTAAAAAAAAATAAATACCAAACTTCCTAATATTCTATATAAGACTAGCTCCAGGGGCGCCTGGGTGGCTCAGTCGTTAAGCGACTGCCTTCCGCTCAGGTCATGATCCCAGGGTCCTGGTTTGGAGCCTTGCATCAGGCTCCCTGCTCTGCGGGAAGCCTGCTTCTCCCTCTCCTACTCTCCCTGCTTGTGTTCCCTCTCTCGCTGTGTCTCTCTCTGTCAAATAAAAATATTTAAAAAAAGACTAGCTCCATCATGGGACTCCCGGGTGGCTCAGTCAGTTGAGCTTCTGACTTTAGCTCAGGTCATGATCTCAGGGGTATGGGGTTGAGCCCTTTGTCAGGCTCCCTGCTCAGCACAAAGTCGGCTTGTCCATCTCCCTCTGCCAACCCACCCCACCCCTACCCCCACCTCCTGGCTCATGCACTCTCCGTCTCTCTCAAACAAATAAAGAAAATCTTAAAAAAAAAAAAAAAAAGCTCCATCTTTATTTGTGGAGACCACGTCTTTTTTTTTTTTTTGAGACCGTGTCTTATAAATACAGCTTCCTGTTGCAGGCAAATAAGAAGTTTACCCTTTTTTACATTAGATATTTCCGATTGCTGCTGTAACAAATTTACTGGCTTAAAAACAACAGAAATTTATTCTCTTACAGTTCTGGAAGCCAGGAGTCTGAAATGAATCTTATGAGGCTAAAATCAAGGTGTGGGCAGAGTGGTTCCAGGGGAGATTCTTTTCTTTGCCTTTTCCAGCCTCTGGTGGCTGTCCATATTCCTTGCAGCAGAATAAACTGCCTTCCTTATCACATTGCCTTCTCCTTTTCTATATTCAAATCTCCCTCTGTCCCCAACTTTTTTTTTTTTAAAGATTTTATTTATTTATTTCACAGAGAGAGACACAGCAAGAGAGGGAACACAAGCAGGGGGAGTGGGAGAGGGAGAAGCAGGCTTCCTGGGGAGCAGAGAACCCGATGCAGGGCTCGATCCCAGGATCCTCGGATCATGACCCGAGCTGAAGGCAGATGCTTAACCATTTAAGCCACCCAGGCACCCCTGTCCCCAACTTTGTGATTACATTTAGAGCTCACCCAGATTTATCCACCCCAGATAATCATCCCATTGAAAAACTCTCATATTAATCACATATGAAAAAAAAAAATCGGGCACCTGGGTGGCTCAGTTGGTTAAGCGACTGCCTTCGGCTCAGGTCATGATCCTGGAGTCCCTGGATCGAGTCCCACATCGGGCTCTCTGCTCAGCAGGGAGTCTGCTTCTCCCTCTGACCCTCTTCCCTCTCATGCTCTCTATCTCTCATTCTCTCTCCCTCTCAAATAAATAAATAAAATCTTTATAAAAAAAGAAAAAAAATCACGTCTGCAAAATTTCTTTTTTTTTTAAAGATTTTATTTATTTATTTGAGAAAGAGAATGAGAGAGAGAGAGAGAGCATGAGAGGGGGGAGGGTCAGAGGGAGAAGCAGACTCCCCGCCGAGCAGGGAGCCCGATGCGGGACTCGATCCCGGGACTCCAGGACCACGGAGCCCAATGCGGGACTCGATCCCGGGACTCCAGGACCACGACCTGAGCCAAAGGCAGTCACTTAACCAACTGAGCCACCCAGGCGCCCTGCAAAATTTCTATATACTATCTGGGAGCCTTATTCAACCTACCACAGATATCAAGTTAAAGTCACTATTTGTTGAAATTGTGTAAAACTTCCAAAGGTTCAACTTCTGTTTATGCTTATGGCTATAGTTGTCCTAATAGTAGCTGTTAAAGATATTGTCTGTGCAATGGGATACCCAATTGGTAAAATATTTAGACTTCCACTTCAAAACACACAAAAATATTAATTTCACATGGTTAGGCTTTAAGGTACAACACGAATTACAGCTCTTAAAAGGTCATGGAAGCAGGATGCCTGGGTGGCTCAGAAGTTAAGCGTCTGACTCTTGATTTTGGCTCAGGTCATGATCTCTGGGTTGTGAGATAGAGCTCCACATCGGGTGTGGAGCCTGCTTAAGAGTCTCTCTCTGGGGGCCCTGGGTGGCTCAGTCGGTTAAGCA